GCCAGCCTCTTAGCTCTTATCTCTTTCCAGGACCAAGTGGGTATGAGGCTTGCAAGGAGGAGGGGGAGAGGGAGGCGGGAGGGCCTGCTTTAGGGAGCTGGGTGCCTGGATGGAAAGGGCAGAAGGCTGGGGCTGCACAATGGGAAGCAGGAGCTCTGTTGGGGGCGGCGGAGAGGAGTACAAGGCAAGGGAGAGTAAGGCCGTGTGCAAGTCCAAAAGGTGTGGGGGGTGCAGGGAACATCCGTTCCCCTCATCTGTCCCAGTATGTCCCATCCTTTATCAGGTTCCAAGGCTCCCCCTTCCCAGAGGTCCCTGCGTTCTCTACCCTGTGCTCCTCTGCCCCGTGTGACAGATGAGCACACCTGTCCCCCTCCACCAGGCAGGTCCTGGAAACCAAGATGAAGAGAAGGAAAAGGAAAAGGAGGAGATGTGGCAGTAGCCAGAGTGGTCAAGTTATAAAAACCAGGTCAGAAAGGACAGCGGTAAAGGACAAGCCTTGGGGCCCCGGGGGCGGAGAAGCGACCTGGTCCCTCTAAGAATGGCGGGCCAGCCAGAGGAGGCTGGTGGCGGGGCAGGCGCACCACTAACCTGGCGGGGTCCAGGCAGAGGAGTCGGCGCCCAGAGGCTTCCCGGGCCCCACCCAATCCCCAGCCCAGGGACCTGAGCCAGGGGCAGCAGCTTTAATGAGGAGATGCTGCTGTGTGACTCAGCCCTCCAAAGGTGCCTCCATTTATTTTATTTTTCCATCATAAAAACCCAAGCTGCAACTCAGCCAGATTCCCTGGCCGTGGGGGATGGGGGAACGTCGGGAGCACTGGCGAGGCGGCACAGAGGTCTGACTAACTGGCCCCAGTGCCCTTCTTGGGGAGAAGAGCTAATGGGTTCTCCTGGCTGGTCCTGATTGGAAAAAAGGGCCTGGGGTGGGGCCCCTCTAGGGATCCTTCCAGATTGGCCCTTGCTGCCTCTGCCTCCTCTTACAGGAGAACAGCTCCGCCAGGACTTTCGTCCTGAGATCTGCTCTGACGTCTTACAGCTCAGACAAGAGCTGGGTCAAGGACCACTTCACGGTCCAGAGGTGCCTGTCTCAAATGCCTTCCACCAAAGGCCGGGCCCAGATGATGTGCTTCTCACCTCATGCACTCAACCCTTCCCCCCAAGACTGAACCTGCCCGGTAAAATCAAGTTGGGAGTTGGAAAGCCAGAGACTTAAAGGTCATCTGATGCTCAAGTCCCTGCAAACGTCACAGCCAGCCTCTGTTTGAATGGTACCAGGAAACTCACTACTTCCGAGGCAGCCCATTCTGTCCTTGGCTCTGACGGCTCCTTCCTGCCAAGATGGCACCAAAGCACCCACCCCCTGCAGCAGACTGGCAAAACCGGTGTCCAACCTGACTGCAGGGACTGGCCCCAGCTTAGACTGGTTGAGTGGGTGTATCTAGCCAAGTAAAGGCTTGAGGAAGGAAAATCGAGGGCAACCTGCCTGGGCTTCCTCCACAGCTGAGCCAGGGCCGGGCTGCAGTGGCAGAGGGTTGTGTGTGTGTGTGTGTGTGTGTGTGTGTGTGTCTGTGTGTGTGTCTGTGTGTGTGTTGGGGGGGCTGGTCTGGAGTCAGCAGAGCTTATCCCAGGGCAAAAGTAGTAGGAGTGGCTCAGCGAGCAACCCCACTTCCTCCTACTGGCTCACCTGGACGATGGGGCTACAGCCATGGCCCCAAGTGGACAGTGCCAGCCCTCTCTGGCCCTCTGTGCAGTCCATGGCCATCCCCTTAAACTCGCTCTCTTGCCTATTAGGCCCTCTACCTGGTAGAGCCTAGCCTGGATCCTGATGGACAGCTCTAGCCCTGGACAGCCCCTCCTCTTCTTCTCATGCTCCCCCTAGGGAAAGCGGGGCAGTGACAACCAGACCCCGGGGAATCAAGGGCAAGGTCCTTCTCAAAGCTCTGCTGCTGCTTCACAGCCGTTTTGCCCCCGCCTCCAGTCCTGTTGGGGGGCCTAGCAATCAGTTCAGGGGGTCCCTAATCCTGGGCTGGGGAGCTTCCCAACTGCAGGATGGATTTACCTGTGTCTGAAAGCTCCCTTCCCCACCCCTCCCCTGCCTGGCTCCCTCCCCCAGGGAAATCACTCTAAAAGGGCCTAATGGAACTATGTCCTCCTCTCTTCCTCTCTCTCCTCCCTCCCTCCTCTCTTTCCCTTTCCTTTTTTTTTTTTTTATTAGCATTTGTGGAATTTATTCCCAAACTCTCCTAATCTTCCGTACACAACCATTTGATTTGCATAACCCAACCCCCTCTCATAAAAACTGGCTGCTAGTTTAATTAAAAAATGTAAATTTGCTGTCATCTCGGGGCCTGGTGAATTAGGACGACATCGGCATTTTTTATTGCTAAAGACGTCCAGATTGATCCAGCCCTTGGCTGAACTATGGTGGGGGGATAGGGGTCCACATGGTCCCCGAGGATCCTGAGGTCCTGCTGCCCTCTCCTGAGAAGCTTGGCTCTCCCACCACTGAGTGACTTATAGCCAAAGCGCTTCAAGACCTGGACCTGTCCCAGGCTGGACATGATGCTACTCCACAACCCAATGCTTATTGGGTCCCTGGTGCCAACTATTCTTTGGGTCCTGCACCTCCAGCCTTTTACTGTGCCGGAGAGGCCTTCAGCAGGTGTCCATGGTCCCCTCCGCCCCCCCCCCCCAAAAAGAGAGCCCTTCACAGCACCAGCAATGAGCCCTGGCCAGTGACAAGGTCTCTGGCTATGCTGTGTCCAGGAGAACATTCCAGATGTCAATGGAAGAGGAGCATGGAATCAGCCCAGAGATGGGCTCAGAGGGGATCTGAGAGTTCCCACCTGCTTCCCTTTTTCTGTGAACAGGGACAAAAGTGCTTTTCTTCTGAAGTGCTGAAATTAAGTGAAACTTCCAAGTTCAAAGAAAAGGCTGAGGGGGTATCACCAAATGACTCCTCCAGAAAACAGTGAGAACTCTGACACCCTGACCTCTCTCTCCTCACCGAGTGGCCAGAGGCCAGGCCTGGGTCCTGCTCGAAGAGCCTCACTCCAGCTACAGGAGGGATGAGTCCACCTCAGCGGCTCTTCTAGCTTCTAGGAAAAGTTTCCAGAGGCTGTCCCTGGAATGCCAGGGGAAACAGGTCTCCCCCTAAGGCCCAGGAGAGACGCTACAAGAGGCCCTGCCACCCACAGGCCCGGGGGCTCTCTCTCCGGTCGGGGACACCCTCTAGAAGGACTCTGGAGTCCTGCACTCATAGCAGACTGGAAGGGACTGGTCGGTGTAGGGCGGGAGAACGGACGCCAGCTCCGGTTGGCACACAGGTTAGAAGGAGGAAGACGATGGGGAGGGCCGGCCTTCTAGCTGAGTAATGCCTGGGTCCACTGTGCCCGCCCACACGCACAGGCTCCTCCGCCCCAGGTAGGGGGTGGTGCCAACCCTGGCCCATCTGTAAGGGCTGCTTCTTGGCTGGGTTGGGTGGGGGCCCTCTTTCTGAAGAAAGGGGGTGGGGCCCGGGAGAAGGAGGTGCTGAGACACCTGATTACAGTGGGAGTGGAGGCCAGGGAGGGGCAGGGTGGCAGAAGTGGCCTCAGACACCTTCACCACTTTGCCCAGCAGGGGGTGTCACACCCTTCCTGGGCACCGGAGGTCCCAAGGACCTCCGCATCTGATTATCAGAGATCACACCTGGCTGCATGGAATCACAAACTCCGAGCCACCCTCTCCCCACAAACACATGCCCACTTCCCAAAGTTAGTCACCATGTCACCGGCCCTGCCTGCCCTCCTGCTGCCTCCTGCCCTCTCTGCCCACTCTCCTTTGACCTCAGAAGGTCAAATGTCAGCTCATGGGTCCCAAGGGGCAATGCCATGAACTTGGGCCCATTATAAATAACAACCCTAACAACCATCTATTCTTCTATAAATCAAACACAAGGGTTCAGAGATCAGCCTCAATGAATTCTCAACCTGTTTACGACTGACTTCTTCTAAAACCATTTAGGAAGAGGACAGTGGCTTTTGTCAGGCTAGGATCTGAGGGTCCGGGTCAAAATGGGGTTTCAACAGAGCCGGCTAAATGAAAGCCTGAGGAGCTTATGGTAAACCTCACTCTGGGCTCAGGTTGGAACCCCAAATGAAAAGAGAACTATTGAAAAACTTGGATTGAAACTGAGAAAAGCTCCAAAATATCAGGATAAGCTGCCCCAGGCCAGCATCATGCTGTCGGAACCCTAGCCTGTGCACCATACTAGGCCCTCCAAAACCCAGAATCCAAATTTAGTAGTTTGTTTGGTGTCCCCCTGTGGGGGGGGGGGAGCGAAGAGGGGGGATTGGAGAGCGTCCTGGGCCCCTCACTTTGAACTGATAACAGCCGCCTCATCCCACGGATTCTCAGGTGAAAAATACTCATTAGCCATAATAAGCAGTTTGATCATCCGACACAGCCTTGTCCCAAATAAATTAAATTCCTTTACCTTGAGACAGTCGCCCCGAAACCAGACTAACCACCTTTCCCAACAGGACGCTGCTTTCAAAAACTAAACCACCCCCCAACTAAAAAAATAAAAACACACACCCCACAGTCCAACAAACAGAGATCTTTGCAGGGGAAAAAGAAACACACACACACACACACACACACACACACACACACACACACACCACGGAGCCACTCAAAAAACACGGAGAACAAAAACCCCCACGAAAAACCCCTAAATCCTCTCTCTGGGTGCCCCCCAGCTCCCTCTCCCCTCGGTTCTTTCATAATGACAAGCATCAAATTAGTCACAGTCACTAAGCAAGTAACAAATAATAACAATAATATCGTCGGAAGCCTCGCAATCCAGAAACCAGGGCGAGCAGCGCAGCGGGCGCCGGACCCTCCCCAGGCCAGCCCCCACCCCCTGCTCAGCTGCTACCTCATTGGGCTAAAAATAATAACTTCCGTAAAAGAACCGAAAGAAAAGCGAAAGAGCCTCCGCTGGTTCCCACCGCCGGTACCTGTACCGAGATCCATTCTCCTCTCCTTGGTCCCAAACTCTTCGAGGAACGCCAAAAACAGAAGAGGAAAGAAAAAACATCGGTTTAGTCTCTCGCGGTGCCCCCCGCCGCCCCCCTCCCGCCCCCCTCCGCTCGCCGCACCCCCCAGCGAGGGCCGGAGCGGTCCCCGCGACCCGGCGAGCACTGACAGGGGGACCCGGGAGGGAGAGCGAAAGTTTCTCCCTCCCTCCCCGCTCGCTCCCGCGCTCCGGCATTGCACACTCGGAGCCGCTCCGCTCTGCTCCCGAGTTTATTAAACTAAAAGAGAAACTATTTATAGACGCGGCCCGGGTCGGGGGCCCGGGCGGCCCTCGAGGCCGAGGGGCGCTCTCGCCCGCGCCTGGCCCCGCCCGCGCCCGCGCCCCCCGCCCGCGCCCGGGTCGAGCCCCGCGGCGGCGCCCCCTGCCCTCCCCCGCCCCACTCCCGTACTCACCATAGTCGGAGAGTCGAAAGCCGAATTCACTTAAATAATCAACTTTCATAATACTTAATTAATGCCTAATTGCAACTGATTACTCCCCGAATAACAAGTTGTTTTAAAGCCCTGATGTCATTGCTCCTGACGGTAACACTCAGGGTAACAGTTTGGCAGGAGGGAGCGGGCGGGCGGGAGCGGCCGGGGGCGCTGCCAGGCGCCGAGGTGATTGGCAGGGCGGCCGCGGCGCCGCCTCCTCCGGGCCGGGCCGCGCCGCCCCGGCAGGTGAAAGAGCAGAGCTCGGCCCGCCCGCGCGCGCCCGCCCGCCGCGGTGCTGGAGTGAATGGGCGCGCGCTCGCCCTCCGCGCCGCGCCGCACGCACGCGCCCGCCCCGCTGACCCCCCCCGCGCGCGCCCCCGCCGCTCCGCGCGCGCGCCTCCAGCGCACCCGTTCGGGCGACCGGCCTCATTGGCTCTGCGAGTCCCCAAACCTTAGACTTAAGGAGGAGGGAGGCGGGGACTCGCCGCGCGGACCGGGGCGGGAGGGGCGAGGCGGGCGGCGCTCGCGTCCCCGAGCCAACTCCGGCCGGACGCCGGCGGGCGCGCGCTCGCACGCTCCCTTCTGCACCCCGGGCGCCGCGGGCGCCACTCGACGACGGCCGCGCGCGCACTCCCTCCCGGCGCCTCCCGGCCAAGGGCTCGCGGCGCGCGCGGCCGCGCAAACTTTTCCGCACGGGCGGGCGCAGGTGTGAGCGCTGCGGGCTCGCGCCCGCCGGGCCGCGCGCCCTCGTGCTCCCCCTCGCGCGCCCTCGTGCTCCCCCTCGCGCGCCCGGCGGGCTCCGGGTGCGGGGGTAGGTAGCAAGGCGTCTGTGTCCCCTCAAACCGGACTCTCCTGGTGGGGGTGATGGCGGGGCTTTTTACTTCCAGGGAGGAAAGACTGCTGAGTGGTGGGTCTGGCGGGGGCTGGGGGGGGGGGGGGTGGCCCGGGACACGTGAGTCGGCTCGCGCTGCTCCGCTCGCCGGCTGCCGCCGCCGCCGTCACCGCAGCCGCCGCAGGCTCCAGAAGAGCCAGGACCCTTGGCTTCGGCCACTTTCGCTTGGTTTTGCCCTGAACTGGGCCCTGCTGCCCTCCCGACCCGGGCCAATCTCTGCTCTCCTGGACTTTCTCCTCCTCCTTGAGAGTTCAGCCCCCAGCCCCGCAGTTGAGCCTTGAGGGGTGTCCAGCACCTCCTCCTTCCCTCACCCCGCTGGGCAGCCTTTACTCTGAGCACCCCACCACAGATCCCTGCCGTCGCGTGGACTCCCCCCCCCCCCCCACCTTTTTGCCTCTGTCATGCTCCAGTACGGATCCGGGCACAGAGGGCAGAGGCACCCCTGACTGAAGGAGCCAGGGTGGTGCCACCAGCCCCTCGGCCAGCAGCGGCATCTCCTGCCTCCCAGTTCCTCTCTGGACCAGGGCTCCTTGTGCTCTCCTTGGCCCTGGAAAGCACTATCCCGCCTCCCCTGGAGAAATCACTTTGGTGGGTCCCCTGTCCCCAGAAGTCCCTGCTGCAGACAGGTATGTGGAAATTCCTTAAATTTTAGTTACCCATTGGATTTGGGGGAGGGGTGCTCAAGGAAGGAGGCAGCCAGGTGAGCAGGGACAGGACCATGGGCAGGTTGGCTGCGACAGCACCTGGATCTTACTGTCTCCAGCTCTCCGTCGATCCCTGTGTAACCGTTCTGCTGCCTTCCTCCCCTCCTGCTTCGGGGAAGCCACGCTGCCTTCAGTGAGGGGAGTGGAATAGACCCTGGGTTTTCTCTGGTCTCTGGGCCGCATTCAGCAGAATAGCACCAGCCTATTTCTGCAGTGTTTCTACTTTGCAAAGGGAGGTGCCCAGGGAGACCTTGGGGCAAAGAAGTCCGAGAAAACCCAATCTACTCTTTCTCCCACTTTGCCCTTATTGTTCTTCTTCATCTTCTTTTTAGTTCCAAATGGCCTCACCAGGAGGAGGTCTGCATCTCTTCACTATTTGACCGCCCTCCCTGTGGACTTGGTAGCAACCCTCTTTCCTGCCTGTCACCCACAACCCTCCACCCTCCAGACCCGCCCTGTCTCTTTGTAGGAAGAGCAGCTGGAGAGGCCCAGAAGCTTTACTGAGTGTCCCGTGACCCTAAAGCCCTGAATAAAGGAGCAGAGGTTCTTGACCCAGCCACGTGCTACCCGGAAGCTAGGACAGGTGCTAGTGTGGGGCAATCCCACACAGAAGACCTGGGCTCTGCTCCCCACGTGGGACCTCGGACAGGGGACCTCTGTGTCCAGAACTACTCTGGAGTATACACATGCCTCTGGGTGCTGTCACCTGTGACTCTCCAAAGTAAGGCTTACAGCTTTGGGTTGTCACAACAGGCAGTCAATCCCAAGCCCCAGTCCTGAGTGCCTGCTTCTCCACCTGGCCAACTAGGGGGTGGAAGGAAGCCCGAAGAGCCACACAGGAGTGGAAGTACGATCCCCTCATTTATTTGATGGGTGCGTATCAGGAGCCCCCTGCGTATGTGACCCACACGACCCGCTGGCTGTCTCTGAATGTCCTTCTGGGCTTCTGCCAACGGTGGTCACAGCAGGGGAGGGCATGCCTTCCAGTGACCTAGACAAGGCCAACTGGATTGGCTGCACAGTAACTTTGGGACCTCTGACAAAGGTTGGAGAGCCAGACACAGAACACACGGGGCCAGCTAGAGGGATGCATCAGGCAAAGTGGTGGAGGGAGGTGTGGGCTGCCTGAAGAGCCTCTGCCCTGCCCAGGCGATGGCCGCCATCAGCCACTGCATGCCTGCGAGGCCTGGTCCAAGAGGGGGCAGAGGCCCGAGAGAATGTAGCTGTACAGAGAATGAGGCCATCTTGGCATGTTACGATTGAGAAGGTCTGAGAAGAAAGAAGGCTGAGGCGTCAAGATCATGAGGTGTGAGTCAGAGTCTGCACAATGGAGGGGTCCCCAGATTTCTCTTTCTTTCTCTTTGGGTATGTGCTCGTACGAAGGGGAGAGGCCCACAACTCCGGCCTCTCTGAGGCTCTGGCCCATTTTTGCCTTGAGGACCCCGATGTGGTGACACCTCTTAGACCCTGAGGCCAGGCCACAGGGAGGACATTTGCGCCTGGGATCTGGGATGGAAAGCCCAATGCCACCATCCCTCCCGGTCTTGAGGCCCCGGGCCCAGAGACGCCAGTTCATCCTTATATACCCGGTCCCCAGAGCAAATGCGGAGCTGTGCTCAGCAAGCCCACCCACCAGGCCCCTCATAGGAGTCCAGGGGGAACCACTGGCCCTCCCCAGGCCGGCTTCCGCGGTTGGCTCCCAGTCGGTCGGCTCACACCCCCAGAGGGCCCACTCATTCTCTCCCCCTCCCGAGCCCGGGGCCTTCTCACTCACCAGCCTGTTTACACACCAGATATCTCAGGCTTTATCTGCTCTCATTCTGAATTTGTAACTTTCACATAAACTTGAACAAAGCTCCTTTTGTTTCTGCACCCCACCCCAGGATCCCAATAAACTGGTTCTCTCTGAGGCGACTGGGCCAGGGCACAGGAGCCTTGGCCAAAGGAGTGTGTGTGCATGTGAATAAGCATGTTCGCACCTGCGAGGGAGTCCGTGTGTTTGCGTGTGAGTGCGCTCCTCGGGCTGACAGAGGGAGGGCGTCCGGGAGGATGTCAAGTGCGCAAACTGTGGACAGGAAGCACCAGGCCACGGGGATGGGACAGTCTGCCAGGGGCGCAAGAAGCCGTGGGCCGTGAACGGGCGGGTGTCGGGGCAGGGGGCAAATAGGGACAGAGAGGAGTGGCGGTGTGGGTGGCGGAGCCCGCGGCTGAGGCCAGGCTTAAGCTAAGTAGAAGGCAGATACAGGGACCACATTATGGCGGTATAGGGGCGGGCACAGCCTCGCGCTCGGCCCCGTAATCCTGTTAGCCAGCAATCTCCATTCCGAAAGAGCTTCATTTCTTTGTGAATATTTGTAAACTAGATATCTAATGGAAAATTATAGGAAAATTATAGTGAAATTCATGACGGAGAAATCCGATTATCCCTAATTCAATTATGCCATCTTAGCCCACACAGCACATTTCCCATTTTTTTCCCATAAATACCGATGCCAGGGGTCCCGGTAATCAAATAAAATTGAAAATCATCTTCCCATTAAATTCAATTAGCCGCAATTTCTAAAGCCTATCAGAGATTTTAATTACTAAATTATAAAATTCTCCAATGCTAAATTGAAACCAAAAAAATTGCACATCCTTATATTTCAGAGAAAAAAAAAGGGCCAGCAAAATCCTTGAAAAAATGCCCTCCTTTCTGTACCCAGCTCCCAAGCAGGTTCCCCTCCTGGAAGGACCTCACATGGCTACCTACTCGCCCAGCTGCGGATGAAGCCAGGGGGGCAGAGGAGAGGGCTCTGCCAGGGGAGGGGCTGAGGCCTATTAATTTAGGAGAGGGTCCAACCACACCTCCAACCCCAAGCTTGGGCTTGGCTGGCCCCTAGAGAGGACCTGCCTTCCTCACGGGCTGTGCTGGCTCCCGAGATGCTCCCAGCTCTGTCCACCCACCGGGAGGTCTATAACTTGGCCCATGGAAAGGGCTCAGGCTCAGGTCGGAGCTCGGCCTCAGGGCTCTGCATGGTTCTAGGGCAGTAGACCCAAGGCAGCGCCGGCTCCCTGGCCCATCTGCGGGGGCCCCCACACGACTCAGGCTGCATCAGATGTGGGAGGGGGATGGAGGGCAGTGGTGAGGGTGGACAGATACCAGGGTATGGTTCTGTGGCCCCCAAGTCTACTCCGGAGCGATCCCAGGGGGCCCCGGGCCCTGGCAGTGTCGCAGCCTCCCAGGATAAGGCTGGTGACGGGCACGGCCCAAATCTGGCCTCTCCTGTACTTGCAGCTCATTCTCTGTTCTCCTCACCCTCTTCTGGAAAGCTGGCAGCCCTGAACTGGCCAGAGGGCGTGCCTTGGCCCCACGGCAGCTCTTACTCTTTCACCCCTTCTCCTTTTAGGGAAATGCTGGCCCCAACCCCAACAGGAGCCCTCCTCTCTATCCCCCGTAGGCCACTTACCCAGCTCTA